TTTTTCTATTTTAGAAGAAATAATGTAAGATTATTTTTCTTCTTTGTAATTTCTGAACCAATATGTTATACTCCTAATATATTAATCAATAAGTTTTTCCTGTTTTATTTATTTACTTCATGTTTTTGTAGTATGACGAATAATTACTTCTTTAATCTTATAAAATCATCATTAAACTTTAATAATAATTATAAAAAGTATTAAATGAGAAAACTTTATAAGTAGGTTATAAAATTGATAAAGTAATATATAAAAAAATATAAATTATTTTCAAGGTTTATAAATCAATTTTAATATTATTAAATAATTAATAAATGATAATAAAGATTTTAAAATAATTAACCACATTTAGTAATAAAACCCCTCAACTAAAGATGGATGGTAACAAAAACCCTCAACTAAAGATTTATTGAAATAAACCCTCAACTTTAGTTATGTTAACGTATATCACCCTCCGTCTAAAATTCTGTGACGGAGGGTGACAAACATTAACAAAACTAAAGTTGAGGGTTTATTTCACTAAATATTTAGTTGAGGGGTTTTTTTACGATCCATCTTTAGTTGAGGGGTTTTATTACTAAAAACCCAAATTAAAACTATAAAAAAAGAAGCTTAAAACCCTAAATTTTCTCACCACGTTCAAAACTGCATGTACAACTACCAGAGCATGACACGATCTGAAAATGTACACCCCTTTTTTTACACCCTTTATATCTTTGTAATTACTAACTTCCTTCTTTTATTTGGCATCCATTTCTTTTTGCATTAGATTAGTCTTCTTCATCAAGATCTTTTTTTTGGGTTTCGAGTGTCTCAACAAAAATTGATATTTATATCTATTTTTTTTTTTTTGCATGAATCTCACTGAAGATGTCGACTGATTCCTACTATTAGAGCTTAATTCTTCAAAGAATATAGTGGAAAATCAAAGCATTATCATTTGTCAACAACAGGTACTGAAAAGTAATTAAGTATACAGAACTATTGTATAAGATCATTATTTTCACATTCTTGAATCTTTGATAAGCAATAGATTACCTATTTACAAATCTGTGTTTTTCTATTGTCTTATTTTTATGAATACAAAGTGACAGCAGATTTAGATGCTTATACAGATTTGAAACCCTTAACCGATTTCAAATACGAATATGAGTATTTCTGAAGTGTTTAAGAACTATACCATTGTTTTATGTTTACTATATTAAACATGAAGAAGTTTACATTTTAAAATGGGTTATATAAACTGTTTTATTGCTTCCTTTCACTTCCTTCGAATGCAGCTACTCTTAAGTTATCTCTAATGTGTTATTTAGGTTTAAAATAATAATTTATTTTGATATTTTGAGTCATGGTGAGCAAGATAAATTTTATGATCAGATAATTTGAAAACAGGGGAAAAAAACCCGTACGTAGTACGGGATATAATCTAGTATTTTATTAAGCCTGAAGAGCATTTCGACAAATTATCTAGTGTGTTGTGTGTAGCATAATGCAAACAATAATAGTTATCTAAGAAATGAAACACACTAAGTGAGTGAAAACAGTGATTTCTTAAGAAGTACAAAAACATTAATACATGGACGCTTTGGAAGTGTCTCAAGTGATTTTACCTTGGTTGTTTTTAGATATAGTAGTTCCAATTGAATACTTGAAAAATGATATTGCAACAAATTATTTTACTTTTTAGTGGATACGTATCTCTTTTTCGTATTATGTCAACCGAAATATATATATATAGCAAGATCAATAACAGACGCATCATTACCTAAAAATGAGTTGTGGTTGTTAGTCTTTTTATTTAGATATTTTTTTGATAGATTGCACATTGTGCAGGGGATTGGGTCATCTATGAATCTGTATAAACTATGTTCGTTAGTTTCCAACCAAAAGTATAAGCTATGGCTGCATTTGTAAATGTTAGAGAATGCCTGCCTATGTTTTATACTCCCCTTTGTTTCATTATAAATATAATTTTAGATTTGTGCATATGGATTAAAGATTAATTAATTCTTTTTTCTATATAAAAATACAATTACCTATACACTTAACCATATTTTAAAAAATAGAAAATAAATTACATAATCAAAATTAATAAATTTGCATTGAAAACTGAAAACGACTTTTGTAATGAAACTTTTTTCTTCGCTATGACACTTAATATGATATGGAGGGAGTAATAATAAGAAAGTCATGATCATAACAAGTGTCGATAATTTTGAAGGCTAAACTTACTGTCTATCTTGCCTTTGGTCTCTTCGATAATGATGTATGAGCTATGCTAGATAATGGACCCAAATATTTTTCCCTTTTAGTTTCTAAACTTTCACTAAAAGTGTTAGGGAACAATTGTTGCGCCCTAATCTAGTAACTAGCCGGCCTAGGGCAGTTGCATTATGGCACTAATAGATGGGCCAAAGACAAGCAACGAACTCGAACCCGGCAGAGAGCTTCAAGATCGGTCTCGACTGAGTCAGTGAAGATCCCAAGATATCCACAATCAATTTATCAAGAGGAGGAAATGTCGGAAGCTGGTAACAACTCAGCCCTCAAACGGTTCGACCTCGTTTTACATCTTGTTCTTTATTAATCTTAGTGTGATTCACACTTACAAACACTTGTAAACCCTTTGATTTGACATATAATCCATTTTTGTTAACTTGAATCTCATTACATCATTTATTTTTTTGATCAAATATTGAATTTATTGATCAATCAAAAAAATGAATGATATTTCACAAAACAGTCTCGACTGTAAAAGAAGTGCAGTATATGTATATCCCAACTTCTATTTGTGTGCTGAAGCCACCAGCCAAGCAAACCGGCATACTTGTGCCCAAGTTTGTACTTGAGTAATAGGATTTTGTTCTTCATAGCCTTGTCAATGAGCCTCCACATCTGATCTGTGGTTGTCCAGACCTGATGATGATGTCTTGCATTCCTCTATGTTCATATATAGATATAGTAGATAGAAACCTGAAATAAATGCTTCACCAAAATGGATTCCAATCTCATATTGTTTCCCACAAGTTTTTTCTTTTCTAATTTTACATCTAATCACTACCAAATCCATATTGTGAATTTTCGGATCCACACCAATGCTGTGGTGGCATCTTCTTGCGCCTCATATTGGATACAGTTTTTGTATATGGCTCACAGTGTCTCTCAAATTTTTGAGTCCTAGTGATCTCGAAGTTATCAATCCCTACGATGATCTTCGTGAACCGCCTGATCATGCAGCAGCTCCAAGCTGCTCATTAACCATTCATTTCATTCCATATGCAAATGTGTTTTTATTAAGTCTGAATATGATATAGTCAATGTTTTCGTACCTTTTTACCCACTCAACATGGACCGTGTCCCTTCCTGAAGAATGATATAGTCTACCTTCTAACTAAACAAATTTAATGTAGCTAATAGTAAATATTGACGTCAAAAACGCTAAACATAATACAGCATTACAATACAAAACTGAATTAAAAAGAGAGACATTTCCTGTACTTTTTTTTTTTTTTTTTTGACATATACAGTATTTGGAAGATATTTTTATATGAAAACCCATGTTCTAAAAATTAGTCACTTAGCCGTCTAAGTGTTAGACACACTCATCTGTCGTGATTCATGTCACATCAGTCTAAAAACTCACATGTCCGATTTTGGTATGTTTAGACCGTTTAAGCCTTGATTGGTATAGCAAGATGATAAAATAGTAGCAGTATATTGCAGAAGCTGTATATTTTCATTAAAAAAATTTATAAAATAATTGGTAGAACAGTATTAGTATACAATTATAAAATTATCATGAAAATTAGTAGAATAATATATTTATTTTAAATAATATTTATATATTAATAATATATATATTATTAAAAATATAAATATTATTCATTATATAAATTATATTATAGTATATATGTGAAATATTATTATTTAAAATATTAAATTTATTTCAAAATAATAAATTATTTTGGATATACACCTTTTAATATTATTAAATTAATGCTCTATAGTTAATATTATTAAATTAATTAATTAATTATATATAAATTATCATGATTTATTTATTGGTAGAGCAGTAAATGATTCACATATAAAATTATCATAAAAATTAATATGTTACATAATTTATTTATTAGTGTCTAAATAATACAGATATGTTTATATCTATAATATATAACATATAACTACATATTATGTTTTGTTTGTTATTTAAAATAATGAAGGATATGTGTAATTATATTATATTTTAAATGTCATATATTTTTCGTTTAAAAAAGTTAATATATTTAACTGCAGTTTTTATTTTTAAAATTAGAAATTTATTTTGTGATTATTAAAATATTTCTTATTTAAGTAATAATAAATAAATTATATTAATTATTTTTTAATTTTTATATATCCTAACTACAAATGCTCTTCCAAAAGCTTTATATGAGAACATTGATCAAAAAACATTTGTAGAACATTAACATTTGGTAAATATTTTTTTCTAAATGATTATTTGGTAAATATTAATTGGATAATAAAGAGTATAATGCTGATGCTAATACTCTGATAGCCTTAACCGCCTAAATGATCTTCTAACCACCTAATTTATTTTTAATTAAAATTTATTTTCTAATTTTTCTAAACATCTTTTTATTTATTTATTTGATCTAGAATATTATTAATGTAATTTATTTACAAAATTTTGATAAAGTTTATATAAACTTTACATTTTTGTATTTGTGTATGTTAGACAATATTTAAACATGAAAATATGTTACTTGTTATAAAAAAATATTAAAATTAACATATTTTATCACATATGAAACCATCTAAAATTCTAATTTTCTAACTCAACCGTCACAGCCTAATTTTTTAATAGGGATGAAGACACAACTCAATACAACGTTTCATTAAAAAATTATTCAAAAATTCTGTAGTTGTATTTGGAAGACTGAAGAAAAAATCAAATATCTATCTATACTCATATTTTGGATTCTTTATACACGATGGCTGTATCATGAAGGGTTTTGGGTCATCATCATAAACTTGAGATACTGATCATATAACTCCCACAACACGAGCCCTAAAATTGTATCTCTTGCGAGGCTCTTCAAAGCCATTTGAATCCAGCCGTCCGATGTACCACCATCAGAAGAATCTTCTCTTCCCACCAAATCTCTAAACCGGAGATCACCAGAGTCCGATACCAACGCGTAGATTACACCATTCATGTGTCCTTTTCCGATCACACCCACCACCGTTTTACACCCATTCACCGCCTTACTCCTCTTCAACGACCAAGCAAGATACTGTCACGTACAAAAAGTGTTAACACATTTTTAGCAGTCTCGAATACTTATTAGTATCAGCATTCCTTTTCTCAGTTTGGTCCGGCTAAGACATTATTCTTTGTTGATTAATTTGATAGTACATTTTCAGCTTGTTCAGTATAAAAGATACTGTTGAAGTTAAAAAGAAATATATATAGATGTTGTTAACGTTAGGTTTAGAATACAATTCGGTTTGAGAAATTTTGGTTTCTAATTTACCGTGTCTCTTTCGTGTATTAGTGGCTGTAGGAGAGATGGGTATGAGAAACTTAGCCGTTCATAAAGCTGCAAATTTCCATTGCTTTCCTTGGACTCTTGTTCCTGTTGCAATATGCATATACAACCGCATATTACAGCTTAATCTTCTTGAACTTTAAGGGAAGCCAAGGTCGAGGAAAGATAACAGAACCTTGAGCTCTGCTGCGGATATACTAGATGACGATGTGATTGCCCGTGTCACACCCATCACCAGGTTAACTTTCTCTCCCCATTTCAACGAGTTCCACGCCCTTTGAAGCTACAACGTTATCACAGTTATGTCCCCCCATGTGTAACTAAAAGAAAAACGATCCTTTTTATTATAAAAGATCCGCATAGGCATTACTGTTATTTCGATAGGTCGATCTCCAAGAACCAGCTGCGCACCAACTTCCTCAGACGCTTTCCGAGCAGCACGAAACTGCAAAAAGAAAAATTGATCAAGAACAAACCCTTGGTGGGTTCTCAAAGAAGAGTACCTCATCTCCGAAAGGCCGGTCGGCTACAGAAGATAACTTGGAAGAGAAAACCGCCAGGAGAAGTCTCAAAGCCAAAGCAGTTTGGCCTCCTGTGATCAATCATCCAAACACCAAAGAATCAATCACTCATCAAACATTGAAGGTGAAGAAGCTTTTATTAGTTTACCCAAGTCTAAGCTCCGACCAACAGCACCAAAAAAGCCTGTTCCGGACAATGACAAGACTCCCGACTTTAGGTTCTGGTCTTCCTCTCCGACACTTGAAGTGTACATAATCCCAGCTCTGCTATATGTTTTACTGTCAGATACGACAAAATCTCAAACCTATGAGTGAACATAGAAATAGACTTTCCTGCTACGGCAGAGCTCGACGGCCACATTATCTGGCTTCACCGTGCGTACCACGCGCTCGACATGGGCGGCAGACTCAGGCGAGATATGAGAAGTGCCAACGAGCCAAATGTACTCAGGCTCGACGAACTCCTTGCGCCAGGCTGGAGTTGGGCCGAAACTCTGCTTCTGGACAAGAACTAGCGTCCCGTTATCGGCGAGGTCGAGCAGCTCCGGGAAAGTGCTGGCGATTGCGGCGCGTGAATCCAACGCGAGTTCGTTGCGGAAGTCGAAGTCTGGAGGAGGAGCCTGGACGGAGGCTTTGATGGGTTTGAAGAAAGGCTTTGAAGCGAGTGGGTTACAAGTGAAGAAGCGGATGGTCAGTGGATTCGAAAGGAGTTTCATCGGATGATCAAGATTGAGATTTTCTTGATTCTATAGTGTTTGTGTGAAGAAATATATTGAATCTTTTGATGATTGGTTTAGATTTCATGTTGGTGGTTTTTGTGGTTTACAGATGATGCACGTTAATACTCATCTATGAATCACAAAAATGGGAAGGAAGCATTAGTCCAATATTCAGAAACTCTAGTATTTAATCATGTGTTTAATGTTCTGTTTTTAATATGTTGTTAATCTAAACAACAAACTTCAGTCGATTTTTAACATGGTTCGAAATTATTTTCTGAAGGGAACATAAACATTTGCTAAAGAGTTTGGAATTAATATTTAAAAGGTTCAGAATTGTTCTCTTAAGGGTACAAAATTAGTTTATAAAAGATTTAGAATTAGTTTCTGAAAGATTTAGAATTGGTTATTGAAGGATTCATAATTGATTTATAAAGGGTTCAAAATATTTTTCTGACAGATTTTCGAAATCTTTAGCAAATGTTTTTGAGCTTTCTTTCAGAACAATATTCTTAACTAGTCAGAAAATTAATTTTGAACTCTTTAGAAAAATAATCATAACCCATTAGAAAAAGATTTTAATTAGTTAGAAATCGTAAACCCATCAAAAAAACTATTTTTGATCCATTAAAAATCAGTTCTAAACCCTTCAAAAATCAATTCTTAAACCTTTAGAAAACAATACTCAATCCTTAAAAAAATCAGTTCAAACTATTCAAAAAATATTTTTGACCATTTCAAAAAATAATTTCAAACCCTTCAAAAAATGTTTAAACGAGAGAAGAATATTAATAAATAGTTCAATTCATGACTTATTTTTGAAAATATTGAGAATCGTGTAGCTAAAAAGTTAATATAGAAATATTCTCACTCCTTCAAAAAATATATTCTAATCCGTAAGAAAATTAATTATGAATACATCAGAAAATATTCATAATCCGTCAACCCGTCAGAAATCTATTATGGACCCTTCATAAATCAAAATTTAACCCCTTAGAAAATAATTCTGAACCCTTAGGAAATCAGTTCAGAACCCTTCAGAAAATGTTTCGTTAAGAAAATAATTTCGATGGTTTCAAATAATGTTTAACCCATGGAAGAATATTAATAAATATTGCAATTCATGATTTATTGTTCCTAATATTGAGAATCGTGTAACTAAAAAGTTAATTAGAAATATTTTGACCCCTTCAAAAAATATTCTCAATATGTCAGAAAATTAATTCGGAATCCTTCAGAAAAATATTTTTATCTCCTCGGAAACATATTCTTAACCTATCATAAATCAATTATAAACCTTTTAGAAAATATTATGTACTGTCAGAAATCAATTCTACACCCTTCAGAAATAATTCCAAACTCTTCGAAAAATGTTTTTGATACCTTGATAACTAAATTCTGTATTTTTCTGAAAGAAATTCTGAGCTTTTGAGAAATCAATCCTAAACTCTTCAAAAATTAATTCTAAATCCCATAGAAAATTTTTCTTACCCCTACGTAAAATAATTTTAAACCTCGCAGTCAATGCTTGTAGTTATTACTGAACTCTTCAGAAAATATTCTGAACCCAGTAAAAAATATTCTTAATCTTTCAGAAAAATATTCTTAAGAACCCGTCAAAATTCAGTTCTCAACCCTTAAGAATATATTATGAACCTTTCATAAAATGTTTTTGAACTCTTCAAAACCAATTCTAAACCCTTCAAAAAAGTGTCAACCAAAGATGAATATTAATAAATAGCATAAATCATGACTTATTGTTCGAAATATTGAGAATCGTGCAACGAAAAAGTTAATATAAAAATATTCTTAATTCGTCAGAAACTTAATTCTGAATCTTTCATAAAAAAATATTCTGAATCCTCAAGAAATATATTCTTAACCCATCAAAAATCAATCCTAAACTCTTGAGAAAGCTATTATGATCCTTTCAGAAATCAATTCAGAACCCTTCAAAAATCAATTATGAACCCTACAGAAAATGTTTCTTATCCCTTCACAAATAATTTTGAACACTTGAGAAAATAATTGTGAACCCTTGAACAATGGTTGTAGTTTTTTTCTGAACCCTTCAGAAAAATAATCTTAACCCGTTAGAAAAATTTCGAACCCGTAAAAATATCCACATCAGCGACATTGCAAAATTCTAAAGTGACAAATGTGAGTTGTCAGTTCCATCATCAGAAAACTCAGTTATTACATTCATTGTAAACTGATATTTATTCTTCTTTTTTTCTTTTTTTTTGTCAACTACTGAAAGATAGCTATTGAAACATACAACATCATCGAACGAGAGGGCATAATTTTATACCCTTCAGAAATCAATTATGAACCCTTAAAAAAATGTTTCTGATCCTTTCGGAAATAAATTTGGAACCTTTCAGAAATCAATTTTACCCCCTTAAAAATTAATTCGGAACCCTACAGAAAATATTTTTTTTCGCGTTAAGAAGAAAATAATTGTAAATCCTTAAGAAAAATGCTTGCAGTTATTTATAAACCCTTAAGGAAAATATTCTGAACCATTTAGAAAAATTTTCTTAACGTGTCAAAAATAAATCTTGAACCTTGAAAAAAATATTCTTAAACCTTCAGAAAATAATCTTAACTCTTCAGAAAAATATTCTGAACCCTGCAGAAAAATATATAAATCCCTTTAGAAAATAATTTTAACCCGTTAGAAATAAATTTTGAACCGTCAGAATTCAATTTTGAACACTTTAGAAAATTAATCTGAACCTTTCAGAAAATAGTTCCAAATCCTTCAAAACTCATTCCTTAATCCTTCAAAATCAATTATAAACCCTTCAGAAATTATGTCAACAATGGACAAATATTAATAAATAGCGCAATTCATGACTTATTGTTCAAAATATTGAGAATCATGCAGCTAAAAGGTTAGTATAAAAATATTCTTTCCCATTCAAAAAAATATTCTTGATATTCTTAACCCGTCAAAACATATTATTAACCATTCAAAAATTAATTCTTAACCCGTCAAAACATATTATTAACCATTCAAAAAATAATTCTAAACCCCTTAGAAAATTATTCTGAAACATTCAGAAATCAATTCTACACTATTCAGAAATCAATTCTGAACTCTTTGGAAAATGTTTCTGACCACTTCATAAATAAATTTTCAACCTTTCAAAAAATAATTTTCGAAAATATTTTGTCCATAATAAACTGATTTTTTTTTCAACGACTGATATATAAATTTTGAAACATGAAACTACATAATCAAACGAGAGGGCACAATTCTACACCTGGAGAAATCAATTCTGAATCATTCAGAAAAAAAATCAGACCTCTTTGAACCTCTCGGAAATCAATTCAGAATCCTTCAAAAATCAATTATGAATCTTACAGAAAATGTATTTTGTCTCTTCACAAAATATTTTAAACCCTTGAGAAAATTATTGTGAACCCTTCACACAATGTTTGTAGTTGTGTCTGAACCATTCAAAAAAATATTTTGAACCATCAGAAAAATATAATGAACTCTTTAGAAAACTATACAGATCCCTTCAAAAAAATAATCTTAACTCGTCAGAAATAAATTCTGAACCCGTCAGAATTTAGTTCGAACCCTTGAAGAAATTATTATGAACCTTTCTGAAAATATTTCTAAACCCTTCAACAATCAATTCTAAACCCTACAGAAAATGTCTCTTATCCCTTCACAAAATGTTTTAAACCCTTGAGAAAATTATTGTGAACCCTTAACACAATGCTTGTAGTTTTTTCTGAACCCTTCAAAAACATATTTTGAACCATTCAGAAAAATATTATGAACTCTTCAGAAAAATATTCTGAACTATTCAAAAAAACTATACAGATCCCTTCAAAAAAAAAACATAACCCGTCTGAAATAAATTATGAACCCGTCAAAATTCAATATTTTTCAAGAAATTGTTCTGAACCTTTCTGAAAATGTTTCTAAACCCTTCAACAATCAATTCTGAACCCTTCAAAAATCAATTCTGAACCTTTTAGAAAATGTGTCAACCATGGACACATATTAATAAATTGCGTAATTCATGACCAATTGTTCAAAATATTGAGAATCTTGCAACTAAAAATCTAATATACCAATATTATGAACCCTTCAAAAAATATTCTTAATCCGTCAGAAAATTATTTCTGAATCATTCAGAAAAATATTCTTATTCCGTCAAAAAGATATTTTTAACCTGTCAAAAATCAATTTGATATCACTCAAATGTTTAACCATAAGGAGTGAATTACTCTCTCAAATAAGAGGTTCAATCGTAGTACTTAGGGATCGAATCCACAAGGAACTAGAGTCACAAAAGATATAATCCTAAGTGATTAAGCTAGGTTGATTAGGTTTAAAAAAAATAAATAAAAGTTGTGAGCAATGGTAAGTTGCTCAAGAGAATAGGTTTTGGGTTTTAAAACAGTAAAAGAAAGTAGCTAGATTCAAGGTTACTATTCAGAAAATCAGGATTATAAATCTATGGATGTCTTGACGAATTGCTTGCAAATATAGGAGAACTTCAATCCTTAGACAAATCTATAGCTGTCGCTAGTTAGACTCGTCCATTGATCTGATTGCCGACAGTATCGATCGATGTTGCTATCGCAGTGTCGATCGATATATGTTGCCGTCGATCGATTACTCTATAGGAGTATCGATCGATATAGCATCAGATCGAATTGAAACTGTGTTCACCCGAGAATTTCTATTAGACCGCCTATCGCACGTGCCTAACATATGCTGAGCTTAGCCAAATGATTTCAGGATAATGACTATTAGATTGGTCACTCCATAATCATACTTCTAGGTAGCTAATTTAGAGTAAGCATTAGGGTTCATTTGGATAATGAATATAACAACTCAACACTCCATAGTTGGGGCTAATCTCTCATAACTATTTGAACCCTAAATCTAACAAATGAATCTACTCAGACATAGCCAAGTGATTCATAGCAAAAGAATAAGATGAAAAGAAAATACTTTATTGCTAAGT